ATTTTAAAATTTTAGAATTAGAGTATCCAGAGTAGGCTTTTATTGGCTAATTTTCATGTAAGATCATCCAATCAAATTAACCGACAGTTAACAAAATGAGCTAATATAAAGCTTTACTGGTTTAAAAATTTGTCGTTGTTGTTACAGCAAAGTTTCGCGATAGTTAAATTTCATCTGGTCAGATTTCAAGTTCCATTTCGCTGTGGTCAAGTTTCGCTATAATCAAGTGATCGGTTAGGTTTCGCTGTTATCAGGTTTCGCGTGTCAAGTTTTGTCGTGGTCAAGTTCGCCTGGACAAATTTCGTCGTGATCAAGTTTCGACGTGGTGAGTTTCGTTAGTGTAAATTAGCAATATAATTGTAGAAATTTGTAATTGACTTTATATAAATTCTATTAGTCACGTAATCAAAAATTTATAAAATGAAACCTAAAAATCTTGGACCCTGTTCAATCGTTAATTGTACGAATATCAATGTTAGATTTCGTACAATTACAGAGCTTGCATACGAAAAATGTTCCACGAAACGAACATTAGAAGATTATCCTTACCTCGAAATTGGAAAACAACTCTGTCATCCACATTATTGCAAAATCGTAGAGCCAAGTAGAAACAAACGAGCGCATAAATCAAAAAAAGCAAAAACAGCGGATTTTTAACTATATGCCTTGTGTAATGATTACTATAATATGATTTTTCTTATCTTGATATGCTAGTTCAGTTCAGTTACACTTTACCGCGTTTCGCGTCTCTGACGTGTAAGTACATAATAAAGAATAGCACTGTATAATTTCTAGAAAATTTCCTAATGTAGTAATGATAGTGATTACCCGATGTCATAAATTTATCCATCAATTTAATGATAACTCTTAATGGAAGATACAACGCTACAGTTATTAATAAAACAAATATCAACACTTTATTCTTCACCGAAACTTGAACCTTTTTACCTGGAATATTTTACGTGTAAAGCTAAGAATACTAAATTAGATGAGAGTGCACCAGAAGTTGTTAAAAAAGTATTTTTAAGTTTGCATTAGTGCTAAGCCTTTTATTTTTTGAAATAATAATTTGTTTCGAACAACAGGTCGAGAGAGCATGCAGTGAATTAAATAT